AGACTTAACAAGTGAGTATTACAAATACAAACTTAAAACCAAACAATCACAACTAACTGTGGAGCAGAGGTTAAAACACTCATATCTTGTCCACAACGAAGTCAGGTCCTTCAGCCACCTGCTCCATGGATGTCTGTAAGGAGAAGCAACTGTGCTATAAGGGTGTGCATTTATTGCTCTTCCAGAAAAGTCTACATAGGGACCTCCCGACTGAGGCTCAGGTACATGGGAACAGAGACCTTCATGCAGGCTGAGTGGACACCTACTTGCCTCCTCAAACTGCTACATCTGACCCTTATAGAGACGATGTCTCTGAGCCACAGGCCAGACACTATGCTTACTACGACCCTGTGAGTGCAATTTTGAGGTTACTCAAAAAACTGTGAGCAACATAGGATGAAACAAAGAAGAACGTGCAGCAATGTGTGATGACTGCCATTGGACACTTGCTGAAGATATGCACATTATGGTAGTTTTCACACTGTCCTCTAGAGCTCACAGCTTGTCTGTCTTCCTTGTCCTGCCCGTGGTTTTATCAGTATTACAGATTGGTTTCCTGGTTTTCTTTTTAGCTGAGGCATCTCTGCTGAAAAACACCAACAGCAACTGGATTTGAAATGCGAGGGTTTGACAGATGAAGCAAAGAATTCAAGCTGGATCCTGAGGTCTGGTTGAATGACGTTAAGAATCAGTGTCTTCGAATCAGATGCTTTACTGGGTCAGCCAAGTTTGATTCCCTACTGCTGATGGCACTCAGCCGTAGTTTAGGGGCGGGGATGACTGCGAATTGAGAAGGTATCAAAACTGTTCTTATGGCTAACTGGTATTGCCTCTGAACTGCCAGTTACCAGGCATTCCTAATCAGCAGGGCCAGATGAATGCTGCGATACTGAAGTCTGCAGCTCCCTAACGCTCAGTTTGATCTCCAGTACCTGTTTGGTTTGATTATTTTCACCCCTTTCTGAGCTTCACAAGCAGGTTTTTGTTCAGAAACAACATCTGAGTCATGGCCATTCTTGTAAAAAATCTCTTTTTAGATAATCCAGGTCAAGGGTGCACACCTAAGAGTTTACTATTTGTTATTTTTCCCTTCATTATGCCTTTGTTTAAAAAAGCCTCGCATCATCCCAGAGAACGGGAAAAAATGCTACAAGATTTAAGTGAACCTTGAGACACTGTAGAAAACGAATAGCAAACATCTGAATCATAAAAGCCTGTAAACTAATTAGTGTTCATCAGACTACTCGGTAAAGATTTAAAAATAAAAACCATGCTTGCACAATTCAGGATCAGATTGCAAAAGATTTCTGATTCTTAAAAAGAGCTAAGTTTGCTCATCTGTCTGTCTAAAACAAGCAACCAGCTCTGAACGTATGCATTTTTTGGAAAGAATTTGTATTGTAATTGGAAAGGAGATATAGCAAATTAATCAGTCTGGAAAGCTATTAAATAATTACTCCTTTCTGGTCCTTTGCTATGTGCAAACCCACCTCAAAAACTATTCACTTTGAACCAAAATACTAAAAATCCCATTGCAAATGCTCTCCATGTTTGTGTCATGAAACTATAAGCCTTTTTTTTTTTTTTTTTTTTTCCCAGAGTTCCTGAACAACCAAGGCTCCCAGTGTTTCTTGAATTTGGCTCCATGGAGCCAGACGCCAAGTGTCTGTGGGAGCCTGGCTGTGCAGGGGACTGCCTTGGCAGGGCTTCAGCCCTGCGTTCTGGGCTGAGCTTGCACCTGGTCACACAGTGGAAGTGAGAGGACTGTGGTCCTGCTCCAGTCTTGGGTGCAAGGTGGGCTGAATAATAAAAATAAAAAAAAAAAAGAAGTAATAAAAAAGAAAATCCTGTGGGTTTTGTTGTTGTAGGCAAACCCTGACTAGAAGAGTCCTAGGACTGTTCATTATCACTAGTGATGTATGATATTGATTGCATCTTTCAGGGCTTGGATACTGAAAAAGTACAACAATTCTGCTGCCCCAGCATTGTAACACTGTTTAAAGTTTGTCAGGCAGGATAGCAACACTTCAGGGATGCAGCATGAAATCTCCCTCAACTGGTCTTGTTTTCTGTCTCTCCCCTTCCTCACTCACTGCTTCCAAGGGGCTGGGATCCAGAGAGACCTCATTCCAGGCTTGAAGCTTCAAGCGCACATAAGCATCTTTCTTCCATACCATCTTGAGGATTCAGGAGAGCTAACCCTAGCATAATGTCCTCCAAGTATCAGGACTCACTGAATGCAGCTCTCATCATTTGAGGACTTTGCGCTGTCCCTGTGTCTCCACTGGTAGATTCCTAGACGTGCTGAGTAAGAAACTGTCCCAGCTGAAAGGAGAGCAGGAGAAGGCACATTTGCTATCATTCACTGTTGTCATATAAAAAAGTCATCCACCGCTAGTTAAGGCTGATAGCATCTAAGAGGTATAAGGCCATCTACAATCTGCATTTGCAATTTGTTCACCAGCTTTCAGTGAGGAGTTTGTTGTTATTAGGATTTTATTTCCCAAGTGGGAGATGTTAAAGAAAGAAAATTTAGTCTTCATGTGCCAAATTGGTAACATGTAGGAGATTAAGCCCTTGGGCCAATAGCTGCAGTTTTATCAGTTTTACCAGATTCATCCAATGAAACATTAATGAGCTAAGCCTTCCCCCAGTCATCTTTTTTCCTTCCTCATGGTGGCAGGTAGATATTACCAGTCACGTTCCTCTGATGGGGAAACATGCTTGTCTGTTCCTGCAAAGTGGGATAATGGCAGTAGTGGAAAAATAGCTTAATCTTTCACTCTAGCCCCCATCCAGCACCCCCTTCCCCTAGCATCAGTGCACAGGATGAAATCAGCTGAGGGTGCACAAGAATATTGTATACAAAACTGTTAGAAGGTGATGTCTTGGAGTGAGAGAAACAGATCAGAGTTGCACAACATTTGCAGCTCTCCAAGAAGAACCGTGTGTCTTGTCTTGTCTTGTCTTGATACACTGATATACATCAGTTGTCTGGCTAAGATCTGTTCCTCCACTTCTCACCTACATTTCTTGAAATCAGGTGGAATTGCATGTTATTGAAGAAGGCCTGTGAAAACCTCCCAGCACAAGTATGTCTTCGTCCAGAGGGTGCTAAAGGGACTGATCAGATTCTTGTTGACATAGGTAGCTTTGTGGCAGGGCATGAGAACAGAACTGGAGGGAAGAGCCCCATCTGTGCATAGTGGCTTTCACCTCTACAATATTTCATTCCACTCCTGTTAGGAAGCTGAAACCATTATAGATTTAGTTTACAGCTGATACAGAGAGAGAAAATTACTCAAAATTCTCATCTATTACTGTGTCTCTAAAATTTTGCCTCTTCCATAAGATCTGAAATGTCATCATCTGACATGGGAGAGTGGCTGAAGCTCTCCCTGAGCACCACCAATACAGGGAAAAGGAATTTCTGGGTCATGCTGATCTGAAGGAAAAAGAGGAACAACTTCTTGCTGATATTATGGCACACTCACACAGCTTCACTGCATGTCTACTAGCAACCAGAAAAACTGGGGGCTTTTGGAATGATGTGGACTTGCATCTTAAGATACTTCACTCTTGATAAAGGTGCCAAAGCCACATCTCCCTTTCTTGACTTTTCTCTGTCAGCTGCTTTATGCAAATTCTGGCCCTGTTCTGTCTCTCTCCCTCCTAAACTCAAGCTGTTTCAGTATGTAATTCCTGTGACACTCTCACTCAGAGCTTTGTCACTACTAACCTGCATCTTTTTTCCCCTTCTGCATTGGCCAGATAGAACATACACATGACAGTCTAATGAATTTTGGCTATTAAGACTTGCACTGGGACAGTGCTTCCTTGTACCCTGGAATAACTGCAGTACTAGCCAACAGGGTTTTAGACACACCAGACTGACCTTCAGATGTTCCTGACTGATCCAAAAAATCATCAGTCTACTCTAGCCGACATTGTAAAGAGCATGGTGAACCAACCTGTTTTACAGAACATGTTGGGTTATGGAGATCCTGTCTGCACTTGACGGGGCAAAGGTTTTCCAATTTCTGTCGAAGGGAAGTAACCATATATTTGATCTGGTGTTAATAATAATAGACACTGGCATACTTGAGAAGAGCATGGTTCTGATGCCTGCAGTATTGCTACTGATCCTGACCGATCCTGTTTATACTAGTGGGAACAATATTTTTGTCAATGATTAAAGGATCCTGGACAAAGAATGATGGAACCAAAAGTGGGATGTATTATTTCATTACTGAAATTTTATTCAATTAAGTTGAGGACCTAATTGAGGGGACAAGTCATGGTGTGTTTGGCACGACACATGGAAGAACTCTAAGTGCAGACACAACCTACAGGTTCTGCTACTGCTCAAAAGCAGCTCAGATCCCACTCTGAACCTCCACAGCTCAGCTCTAGAAAGCTGACATGAATCTCATGGTCAGCACAAACCAGACTATTGAATTTCTCTCTTGCTACCTGTTTGATATGAGCAACTGTGGAAAGGCCTTGCACTGTTGACGGCAGCATGGGGAACACTTCGAGTTTTGCTCTCGTTTCAGCAGGTGCAGGTTTCAAGTCCTTGAAAAACAAATGGTCATTTGCTTTCCTGGTCACCTCTTACTCAGTTTTGTTCTTGCTGTCATTAGAAACTGCACAAAAATTAGTGATGGAGAAGGCCTGAAAATAGGGTTTTTTTCTAACCAAAAAGTTTTTGATGAGCTAACAAGGTAAGTGCAAATCTCAGCTGTGCTGGTCCCATGACATCACAAACCTTAGGCATAGCAAGTAGCATTCTTGAATGCATCAGAATCTTGTCTTTCAGCATTTAATGCGAGACATTACAAACTAATGAAGAGGAGAAATGTATGCAGTGTTGCTGTAAACCAAATATACAGATGTAAAATAACTAAGAATAAACTGTTCCATAAAAATGTATGTCAATAAAACCCAGTCTGATAAAGTGATTTATGAATAATTTTCTAGAATTACTAAAAAGAATGATTTCTCGTTTGAGGCTCTGGAAGTCTTGAGTCACATTTTTTTTCTTTTAAAAAAATGTCTTAAAACACATGGCTTTACAGCTGCTGCTTGGAAAATATACACCTCCAAAGTCTGACTTTCATTTAAATACAAATGTACAAAATGTAAACTGAGACAATAGAGAAATTTACAAAACTTTTCTTTAAAAATAATAAAGACAAAATTCAGTTCTAGTATGATGCTATTTAAATACGTGCAAGTAGTCATGTTCATTGAATTTCTATTGCAATGTTCTAAATAAACAAATTTGATTCACACAGTCTTGAGTGCCACCTCCAAAAACAGACCTGAGTGGAAAATTCTTCTTAAAATGCGAGGCTCCACTGGAAGGAATGGATAGAAAATCTCCATTTTTGAGAGATCCTTTTTTTTCACTCAACGGTGGAGGCTCTCTCATCCATAGAAGCTCCATAGATTATAGTGGAAGGATGCAACGTTGTTTCATAAAACTGAGCTGGAACTAGCTGCTTCCAGTGGAGTTTGAGCTTACATGATTTGAATTTAGGTGGTGATTTAAACTGGCCTTTGAATTTGGAGAACTCTTTGAATTGTTCTGATGCTGTAGAAAGAGGAAGACAGTAACAGTTAGATTCCCAAAACATGCCATGCTTTCTTTTAGGCCAACACTGTTCATTTTATGGTGATAACACACTGACTGGACTGTTTGAAGATCTTTGGATGTAAAATAGTCTTCACTTTCTTACCTGTATTCTCTCTAGGTCAGGAGGACCATAGCAGTTCTTGAGGAATGCAGCAAAGACGACTCACTCTCGTTCCAGGAGTCAAATTGACTCACTGCAAAATGTCAGTATCTGCTAAATCTGACTAATACAGAGGACACCTGCCAATGCTGAGGCATGGTTTTAACCATGCAGAAATAAATGGGTCTAAGAATGTTATTTAGATTTGAAAATGGTGCCATGGTGCCTCATGAAAGTCGTATATCGTGTAATGTCTGGTCTGCTCTCTTCTCTAGTGTCTTGCTTTCCTGCCATGACTACCTCACTCAACATTTGCATTTTCTTCTTTTTTAACACATAAATCAAGGGTTTTCACAAGGAACTTATCAAAACCATATAACCATTTCGAAAGGCATTTCAGCATACCACTGAAAAATAGTTTGGGTAAGAAGTTTTCAACAGTGGAAACGAAGCTGATGAAAAATGCTGGAACTTCTGGTGGTAAAAAATCACGAGAGGTAGATGGGAAACCTGGGATAGGCAGTACTAGCCAGGAAATTACCAGGTAACTGTGACAGCAAGCTCCCTGTAAGACATACTGTCTTTCTCCTACAAAAATATTACCAGAACATGGCTGTGACACTGGGCATCTATGGAAGGTTCCTTGTCTTAGTCATAAAAGGTCTCACCTGTCGTTTAAATATTCTCTGTAGCAATCCTTTCTTGGGTGGCTCTGGGGGGTAGCTTTTGTTTAAGTCTGGTGAAATAGTACCATTTGGTCCAAATACATTCAGTTCTTTGAAACACTCTGTTTCTATCATCTAGTGGGACACAATAAGAAATAAAAAAGAAACAAGACATCTGCATTAAATATATTCCAGTAGTGCTGGGTTGTTCAAAGTCAGGAACAGGACCAGCAGCTTGAGCAGTATGTTAGGAGAGTTAACAGTTGAATTCCTGATGGTGGCTATAGAAGGTAAATAGGATGTGTGAAAAAGAGAGGCTGAGTCTGCGCTGCATGTTTGCATATCAGTCTTATTAGAAGTTGCCCCATAAAGCCTTCTGTTCTTTTCGTTAGCACTGTAGAGAATATTGGGTAAAGACAGGCACGCTCACAAAATCCCAGTTATTAGCACCCCTCTGCCCAAGTGAATCTGCTGTTTGATCCAGAGTTGGATTATGAAATCCACTGTTGGCTGTGTTTTGACATCAAACAGAAACAAAGACCCAGATCTGGAAACCCTGGAGCAGTTCAAGGTCCAGAGTTGACTGCTGCAGCTGGGACTCGCTGCAGGTACAAGAAAATGGGTGAGATCAGGATTGCCAGTGAAGGCGCCTTCCATTAGGACTTGCAGCCATCCCGCGGAAGTTCCTCAGAGCTGTTGTCAAAACACCTCTGTAGGAACCCAGGAGAAGGAAGTACAGTAGGATCCTTGCCAATTTACACAAATATGCAGAGCCAACAGATACAGTCACCTGCACCTGACATCTGTGGTACCTTATAGATCTTGAAAGAGGCCATTTGTAACTTATGAAAGTATTAGAGTCTGGCAAGTTATCCAGTAGCTATATATTGCTGGAAATATACAGCTCCTCTTAAACCACCTGTGTTAGGGGTTTTATTGGAGTAATTTTGCTCTGATACATCCTTACCTCATTTTGCCATGGAATAGACACTGATCCTGTGGAAAACTTGGAATAGAAATCATCATCTGTTTGGTCCAGGTTAACTCCTTTCACTGTGGAGAATTGCTCGATGTCTAACACATCCTTGCAGTACACTGCTCTGGGCTATCTCAGCAGAAAAAAAAAAAAGAAAAAAACAGCAAGAGAAAAAATACTTCTGAGTCTGACCATGTGCTTTCATTCACAGATTCAGTCAAGTGAGAACGCCTAACAACAAGCGACTATCTGCATCCTGCTTCTCTAGACTTGCTCTGCCCGCATGTTTATCATCAATGGCTGACTTCGCTTTAAGCACGTTAAGCTTCCCACTTTGAAGTCCTTAAAGAGTCAGGGCAGCCCAAGTGGGTTTTAGTCATCCATGCAGCATATGGCTGGGAGGTGAAGGGAAAAGGGCAGAAAGAGCAAGAAAACAAAAATCAAATCCTTCAGTAGTCTTTTCTTTTAGAGAGGGAACAACAGAAAACCAGAATGTTTATGAGTGACACACTGGAGACAGCCCTGAAAAGGGACCTCAGGTAGAAGTGTCCGTCTGCTCAGATAGCTGTGGAGTTTGCAGCTTAAAAGTTTAAAGGTATGTATACTAATTGCTAAAGAAAACAGAAGAGGTTTGGCATTTTTCCATTGTTTTTGTTAATAGCTCAGCTGCTGGAAGCTGTCCAGAATCACCTCTATTAACTCTTTTAACTCGGTTGCCTTTCTTCAAGCAAATGGTCAAATGGCTTTGCCTTTTTAAACTGCTTAATTTTCTGGGATGACAGAGACAGGACTCTTTGCAGTGACGCTGCTTTTAGCTCATATTCCAGCAGTGAGCCACAGAAAGCAGAAATAGTCATCACTGGCTACCTGTCATAGTTAGTGTGGTCATCTGCTTGCCTAGAGTTAGCGTGGTCATCTGATGTGCCCATCAACAACACAGTTACCCTTTGATGTGCAGGAATAATTGAGGGGTGGCTTGTGGGACTAGCCTGACCCACTGAACTCAATCGTGTTGAATCCAACCGTCTACACATGGTGCCATGACTGCACAGCCCAGGGGCCCAACCATGCAGTATTTTATCTAGATCTGAGCAGTGCGACCAAACAAATCAAGCTGATTCCTGACGGAAGTCCTAGCTGCTGGAAGCTGCATCCCTCTGCATTCCTGACGGCTGCAATCCACAACATTTTTGTGGAGACAGAATAGTCTAGAAGAGGATGGAGAGACATGGGTTGGATTACAACCTCTGCCATTGGCTATATAGCTTTGGGTGACGCAGCTGACTTCAGTGAAGACTTGGAAATCTATGGATGAAGTGCGAAATAAATTAAATTAGAGGCAGCTCTGGAGTTCCCAATAAATAGCCATAAAAATTTATGTGCCTCTGCTTTAGCAAATATGTCTGTAAGAGGTGCCTTCTAGGCCTTACATGCCACAGTTAAGCTTTTAATACACTCTGGTGGATCCCAGATTTGAGCCCAGAATTTTCTAATTTTCTACATCAGAAAGAAATAGTAGCTTGTCTCCTATTTCTTCCCACTAAAGCAGGTCGTAACACCATGGGCTAATTGGCAGGAATAACTAGGCCACATAGTAAAATGTAAAGCAAAACCAGAGCAGCTAAAGTAAACTTTTGTAGCATTCAAACCACTTTGGTTTGGTTGAGTTTGCAGCAATGTGAATGAGAGCTGCCAAGATGTTACTTTCCTTAATACGTTAAAATGGCAGTGTTTACTTAGAACCATATGGGAACTTTAAGGATAGAGGATCTAGCCAGAAAGAGAGCCCTGCAGGAAGAAAATAATCAGATAACCCTGTGCACTGGGGTAGAGACCGATACCACAAAAGGGTGGAAAAAGTTTTGTTCTTGCCAATGTAACGAAGACTTTCAGTGTGTGCAAGACTGGTGTGTAAACCTGCGTAAGGACTCAGTGCCGGGTTCTGCACCCCATGAACACTAACAAGTTCAAAATGCTCTCTCAGGTCCAAGTCACCTCCTCTGCTTGAGGTGACACTTGATATCTGAACCTGGTTCAGATTCTCTGTGACAAATGCCTATTTTCATGATGATCCAGTCCATTCCTCAGTTCCGTAGAGCTTTGGACTTTGTAATTCTGGTTCCACCTCAGCATATATATCTATACATCCATATGCATACATGTGGCTTTCATCACTGATTGTTCCAAGCACCACCTGGTACTGCACGTACTTCTCACAATACTACCGTGGATAAGGGAATACAAAGGTTCCCGGTTTAAAGTTTGGGAACTGAGGCATGAACAGACCAAGCGGTGCCTCCAGTGCCACCCAAGAAGACTGTGGTAAAGCAAGTGGGAACGAATCAAGCCCCAGGTTACCACCCTACGTGGAGGCCCACCCACCCTGCACGCACGTGTCTCTACAGAGCAGCTCTCCTCTTCCTCCCAGCCTCCCCAGTCCAGCCCTACCACTTATCACATCTTCCTAGGGCAGCTACTCATGCAGAGGGTGTTGACAGCTCTGAGAGAGAGAAGTTATTTCAGAAACAAATCTCTTGAAAGAGCCCACTGGGGGTTCTTCCTATCATACTTACATCAGGGACAAAGGGAGGATCCAGCATTCCT